TCGTGTTCTGAACATCAAAGAAGATAGAAGAAAGCAAATATGTAACATTTGATGATAATTACATAAAGAAATTTCAAAAGGACGATTGCCAATATGAAGAAAATTTTCCATCAACATATTGTAAGATAATTCCTCTTATGAATCTATATGAGGATTTTCTAAATTTGTTTATTAAACTTGAAAGGGCTATTTCTTCATTAACAAAAGCCAAGGATAATAATGAGGATGAATTGCTAAAGATTTTGGATGATGTTGTTGAAGAAATAGAGACTGATAATGAGCAACATATTCCAAATGCAATTGAAATATCTATTCAATCGGAACCTCATGATGCTCCAATCCAGGGGGAGAGTTCAACTCCAAATATCAATTATCGTGCTCAACTCCAGGGGAAGAGTTAAAATCTGAATGATGGTTCCAATGAAAATTTCTAGACAGAGAATAATGAAAATAATGGTTCCAAAAGCACAAGTGATCAGAGATACCTTTTCAAGAGTTCTCACACGTGCTCAACAAAAAGAGAAGCAAACAACTTTACTTTCTAAATTAGAATTTTACATGTTTAATTCTATTATTTCAAAAATTGAACATAAAACGTTTAAAATTGCTCTTGATCACGCAGATTGGGTTCATGCGATGCAAGAAGAACTTAATGAATTTGAACGGAATAAACTATGGATATTAATTCTTACTCCAGAAAATGCATTTGTGATTGGTGTGAAATCTGTATTTAGAAACAAGATGTATAAAGAAAGGAATGTTATTTGCAATAAAGCATGTCTGGTAGGCAAAGGATATTGTCAAGAAGAATGTATCAATTACGAAGAGACATTTGCTCCTGTGGTTAGACTTGAATCAGTTTGCATATTTCTAGCCTATGCTACTCACAAAAACTTTGAAGTATATGAAATGGATGTGAAGTGTGCATTTCTGAATGGAGCACTTGAAGACACAGTCTACGTTGAACAACCTCTAGGTTTTGTGAACGAAACACTTCTTAATCATTGTTATATTCTAGAAAAAGATGTATATGGTCTTAAACAATCTCTACAAGCATGGTATGAAACTCTAACTAGTTTTCTAACACACTCTAAGTTCGAAAAAGTTTTTGTTGACCCCACCTTCTTCCGAAAGAAAGATGGTGGCCATTTAATGATAGTTCAGATTTATGTTTATGATATTATTTTCGGATCAACTCATCCGAGCTTAACTACTAAATTTCAAAAACTAATGGAGACAAAATCTGAAATGAGTTTTGTGTGTCCAATTAACTTTTTCCTTGGTTTAAATATAAGATAGAGTTTAGAGGGATTATTTATCAATCAAGAAGCTTTCAAAAAGATATTATTGGCCAAGATTAGAATGATGGATGACTCAAAGGTCAAAGTTCCAATGGAATTTGGAAGAAAACTCACACCTTCACTTGACAAACCAACAACATATATAACATTGTTTCATCAGATGATTAGATCTTTAGTGTATTTAACCTCTAGTCGTCCATAAATGATGTTTGATGTTTGTTACTGTGCAAGGTTCCAAGTGAATCCACAAGAACCTCACATGATGGTTGTTAAGAACATATTCCTCTATCTGAAATGAACATCTTCACTAGGTTTATGGTATCAATAAAATTTTGGATTCTTTGTGCAAGCCTATTTGGATGTTGATCTTGGTGGCTGTGGTCTTGATCGGAAAAGTGCATCAGGAGGATGTCAATTTCTGGATGGAAAGCTTGTCAATTGGCACTCCAAAAAGTAAACATGTCTGTCCTTATCCATAGATGTAACATAATATATTGCAACGACATCATGCACATCTCAAGTGATTTAGATTCAGAATCAACTAAGAGACTACGAAACCAATATGAAACAAATTCCTTTTTATTGTGATTCCGAAAGTGTCACTCGAATCTGTCATAATCCAGTACAACATTCCAAGACAAAACATATTGTGCTTGTATAATACTTTATCGAGGACCATGTTAAAGATTGGAATGTGGAAGTTCATTTTGTTTGATCCTCAAATCAACTAGCCAATAGCTTCAGAAAAGCTTTACCAAAAATATCATTCAATTAGATCTTACAAGGGATGGAATGGTTAAAGTTGACCCTGTTCTAAAATCTACACCATAATCATAAATGTAACTGTAGACTTCGAAATGGTTCCGATCTTCGTAAGCTGTTGGAGTTAGCTGTTCACGTCCGACTTATTCTGATCTTTGGAGTAGGTTTGAAGTAACTATTCGTTCAAATTTTGGAAACTACTATCTTTGTAAGTCTTTTCAGAAAAAAAATCTAAATTTTGTTTTTGTGTGTATTATTCTTTTCAGAAAAGCAAAAATCCAAAAGTATTTTTTTGGGTTATTATTTTCTTAGAAAGTAAAAATTCCCAAAATATTCTATTCGTTTCTATATTTCCTTTTCAGAAATTCAAAAATCTCAAAAATATTTAATTTATTTCAGTTTTCTAAAAAACCAAAAGCATCAAAAATAATTTTCAAGGAATTTATGGTAAATTCATTAATAAATTTTAGTCTGCAATAAGGTATTGACAATCATTATCATAACTTCTTTCTCCATATCTTTTCACGACTTCCATGTAGTTCCGTTGACTATCGGAACAAAAATAGTTTCGATATAGGGCTACCAAAATTATTGTTAATGATTGCAAAATCATTGCGAACATGATTTTCGTGAAACTCCCATCCATTTGACACCCAATCTATTGTTCTCCATCTATTTCATAGTCACACATGTAACCCTTTAGACTCTCAGGTTTAACCACCGAGGTTTAGGTTACACTACATCTGCGTTTATGATCTTGAATTTGTTATAACCATGATTTCAAGTGAAACACAAAATCCAATTACGTTTTTTGAATTAACAATGAACATTTTTTTGTTCTAGTTTTAAACACTGAATTGAATGGAACAATTTATTGTTCTAGATATTTTACCCAATGAATTGACGAAAAAAACCCAATTGGTTTGTACCTTTGAATGTTCAAAATCTTGTTTTTCCTTTGTGTGGTCTTAATGAGATGTTCTTGTCCCAAGTCATTTCTTCCCATAAGATCCAGGTTTTTTATTTTTTTTTTATGAGATTTCCGAGTGAACATTTCTCCGAAACACCAAGTTACTCCAGAGAATATCGAAAACTTACTTGTTTTTATGGCTACACTGGTCAAAAAAGTACTTCTTTCAGATCTTCGTACTTATGTTAAGTTTCAGAATCTGGTTGAAGCTGAAACCACCCATCAAACCTAATAAAAGATGCCTTTCATAGTTTCTTAACAAACTTATGATCATAATTCAACAGGAAACCACACAAGCACTTAAGAGTCTCTCTTGAATCAGAAGGAATAGATCGTTTCCCAGGATCCACCTACTTTTCATATCAAAACATGTTTGCTATCACCCATCCTACACTTTGCATTTGATTAATTCTTTTTCTTTGGCACACTCTTGCACTAAAATCCTTGTGATTTTACAAAATTTGGTTTCGGTTCCGATTTCTTACTTTATTTTTGAAGAATGAATCTTAGTTACAATTCCAATGGATACTATTCTAGCTTATGTAAAGCTGGAGGGAAGATCAATAATTCCGAAAGTGGTGAATCTGAAAAATACCTTATCTTTGTAATGGAACATTTAAATCATGGTGCATCTTTTGAATTTCTCTGACATCAGCGTGTCTGTTATAACGGTCACTGATAGTAGAATGTTGAGCTGTCATATTTTTATTGGCTAATTTTTTCGCGCTATGGTAATGTGAAATGCTGGTTTCTCTCTCCAGTCATCATCTTTGATATAAAAGCATCTCAAACAGTTTATTTTCTCTTACCGCAAACACTGCCCACAAATTTTCAAGTGAAAACAAAGTTATCTACTATTCATCATCTTCTTCTTCACTATACCATGGTTTCCTCAGAGAATGTTTTTTTGTTGATCAATCTGCCTCTGTGATCATGTTGAACGTCAAACCCAACCAGAATCTTATCATTGACCTTGATGATTCTTTCTACAATGCTCTAATCAGAACTTTGATCACGTGTTTGAAGTTTTCACCATTGATGAAGGCATTGACATTGTCTGAAGCTATTCCTCTTGTTTATCTGTCCAAAGATTTCTCAACTATGATCTACAACAAGTCTAAAAAAGTCATCAATTTTGAAGTTTCAAGCCACAAAACAGCAATCTCGAAAGCCAATTTCTTCAAACATCTAGGGATCGTTTATTTTGATTTAGTTGTTGATCCTAAGTTAATTCCTTCCACAAGCTTGATCGAGATGTTCTTTCAAATGGGCTACACTGGTGAATATCCTTAATGTTGAAGTTCACGAAATCATTTTTACCTCTAATGTGGAATAGATTGTTTACTCTACTATTAAAAAGCTTGTTAGAAAGGGTTCCAGGTTCTGACACTGCAAGAAAGCTCTTCTACACATTGATCTATGGGTTATACGATGGTATCAACTTAGATTTTAGGTCTGTCATTTGGGATCAATTTTTTCAAAGAACTAGTTCATCCACTCGTCATAAGGAGATTTCATGTGCTCGTTTTTCGCTGATCATTTTCAAAAGAGCCCTTCTTCACTATAAGGTTTCTCAGATGAAATATTCTCTTATTGATGAAATTATGACGCTCCAGACTACTACTTTTGTTATGTCGGATCCCAGGAATTTTAACTTTGTTGGATCAATTGTGAAAGTATTGCAGGAGAAAGTTCCATTGGACAATTCCATTATTAGGCCTTTTCGAAAATTTCCCTCTTCTGGTGTTCGCCCAATCCCTACGTAGTTAAAGAAGTCATTGATGAGGGTGATAAACCAAAGCGAGGTAGTAAAAGGAAAGCCAAGGCTGTTCCTTCCGAAAGCATCGCTGTTACAAAGAAATCGAAGAAGCCTATTACCAAACCAAGGTCACCATCTCCGGTGCTTCAAGATGAATATGAAGAACGAGCTATAAAAGAATTTCAGGAGGATAATATTTTTAGAAACGATGAAGAAGATTCAAATCATACTTCCAACCCCCCCTATCAAAACATTTCCGAATCTATCTTCTACTCTATCCTCTTCCGTTCCAGAATCTGATATTTTTGAAATTATCATGAAGGAACCATTTCTGAGTCTCACCACTCCTCCTTCTCCACCTCCATTCAATCCACCAACTTTACCCTTGTCAACCTCGCCCATTACAACTTCCATTCCAATATCATCCATTCCTTACCCACCAATGATGAGTTCTGTTGAAACATCTCAACCAAGATATCTATCCTATTTTCAACTCCCATTTTCACATACTCAACCATTCCTACAACAACCACTATCACAACTTCACCAGATCTTCCTATTATCAAATTTGTTTTAGAGGAGATTAGGACTTCAGGAATCTCTGGTAACACATCTAGAGTGGGGCCAAATGCCAATATTGGTGTGTTATCATAACCATCTTCTTCGGTTCTACCAACTTTTTGTGAGGATGCTAATATTATATTTGGGGATGATCACGAACCTCTTGCCGATTTTGTCTTCCACCCATTCATCGTCAATATTGATAGTGATAATGATGATGCCACTATGAATAAACATCAATTCAAGGAACTGAATAAAAAGATTGTGTGACAATAGTTAATTTCGGGTCAAGTCAAAGTCAAACAAAGTCAACAAGTCAAACCAGATGACTCAATTAGCCCTTGTATATTAGGGTTTACATTGTGTAATTACAAAACAACTCGCTATTTTAATGAGAAAACATCATTTGGAAGATTCGGCTGTTTGAATTTCCATAGCCGTGATACTGCTAAACATTGAACCAAAGCGATAAAACACTATTACACACTCATAGGGAGTGTGTAGGACACTAAAACATGGCTTAATGGGGTTTACGGACCTTGCATTGAGAAGCTGGACACTCAAAAATGCCATAAACGAAACGTCTCTCGATCACTTTGACGGTATCTTTCTCTCTATATTACAAATCTCCCCCAAATCTCTCTCAAAAGTTCCTGTAACTTTTTGTAATCATTCGGGTCATCCTGACCCTTAACCGGGTCAAAAACAGATTGAAATGGGGTCAAAATGAGAAAAATAGGCTCAAGGATCCGAAACCTGAGCCTTAGATCCGAAGCTTAGGCCCCAAAACCGAAGCCCGAAGCCTCTAGCCTCAGATCCGAAGCCCGATGCCCCATAACCGTAGCCCGAAGCCTCTAGCCTTAGATCCGAAGCACGAAGCCTCAGGACCCGAAGCCCAAAGCCTCTAGCCTCAGATCCAAAGCCCGAAGCCTCAGGACCCAAAGCCTCTATGGCCAAATCCGCAGGGCTTCACAGGAGAAACCCATTTTTCCCGGTTTTCGACTACGACTTGATTTTAAGCCTGTTTTTCATCATTTTAAAGTAGGATTTTCACCCAAAACTTTATTTTAAAATATTAAGACCCATATGTCTTAATTAATCACATTTTAATGCAAAACTTATCCAAAAAGAGTGGGGGAAGTGCAAGAGGTGGAGTGTTGATTTTTCTTTAGTTTATGACACAAGCAACCTCCCATACAAATTCCATGACTAACCTACACACCTTCGCACCATACCTTGTCACTACCTTGTACCTTCCCACTTAATTTTCAGCCTCTCCTACATTCTTATATCTGGAAACTCATCCTCTCTCCTCATTCTCACTCACATGCTCTCATTTCACCAAAGATCAAACTCAACTTTTCTCTCTAACTTTCCCCATCAATTTCGAGATTCCAAGGCTGATCATCAAGACTCCTTACACTCTTGGTAAGTATAATTCTTCCTCCTTGTTATAATTACACTTCATTTTACTCAAATCATTGATTGCTTACAAAAACTCCATCATTATTGTGTTAGATTCTTGAATCTTCAAAGTAATCCTTCAAGTGTTCTTGAGTTGAAAACTTCTCTTCTCCAACATCCATTCACCAAAAATCACTCAATGTGAGTTCATACCCCTAAATTTTCATATTTTATTAGGTTTTAAGGGGTGGGGGGGAATACAAGTTAAACCACCAAGAACACAACTAAATGCTTCTAACAGCTTTCCTCAGAAAAGTTGGACTCCCTTCACGGACTGTTTTGGTCAACTAAAACATTTTATTTTCAGAAACTGTACAAGGTAGAAGTAGTTCAAGTTCGTAGCTTTAAAATGGCTACTTGCATATTTGCATACGATGTTTCTACAATTTATGGTGATTTTTACAAAACTGCCTATCATTTGAAGAACCAATCTGGACCAGTCTGTGTTTATGGACGTTTTCACCTAAGTTGAAGGTAACTAAAAATCATGGGAAATTTTATGAACAAACTAGACTCATTTTCCAAGCTCCCAGAATTTATGGATTTTGATTTGGATCTGTTATAAATTTTCTAAGAACAGTAATAGAAACTGTTAATAATAGAAAAATGATAACAATTTCATTTCACCTTGTAACATGTTGAGCAAGGTGTATATCTTTATGTGAATATATATTATTGCAAATAAATGAAATTTTGTCTTGGTATATAGACATGCATCAGTTAATAAATGGATTTTGATATATATATATATATATATATATATATATATATATATATATATATGGAATATAAAGGATAACAAAATTGTTATAATCAAAGTACACCCATTTCATACAAACATTTAAATAAACTATGTTAAATATAGTTTACGTATATTACCACTACTACCCTTGTTTTGATAAACTATAATTGGTATAGTTTATGATACCTTGCATAACACACTGATACAAAAAGGGTACATTTATACGAAAAGGGATTTTCATTACATTACACGTAAATTCGTTAATGACTTTGTGAAACATTCGCTTCACATTTACCAATAAGCCCTGTATTGTAACCAGAGTCTCCTGGAGGGAGAGCGTTATAGTTGTATATAGATCTATATCGGGTTTGACAAATCCACACTTTAACTGCATGCAACAGTTAGACCGGCAGGTCTGGGGTGACAAATGTCATAACATTTCCGACGCCTGAAGAACGTCGTTTCAAGCTAACTAGGTCATAGCATGGTTATTATAACTCACAAAAAGCATTAACAAACATAAGAATTTATGGGAATTTCATTGAAACCAAACGCGTTTATGTCGATTTAAACTTACATTATTTTCTATAAGTAAGAAATGTTACTTATACATTTCGGTCTTTGGATATAAGACTGCATTACAAATTTTAAGGAAAATATTGGATTTTTCTCGAACAAACATGACATTTACAAGAGAAAGGATTTTATCAAGTTTAAAACAAAAGCTTATGAACTCACCAACCTTTGTGTTGACACTTTTTCAAACAACTTGTATTCTCAGGAAATCACTATACAGGTAACCAAGTGCATTTTGAGGATGGGACGTTAAGGCGTCAACATTTCATATTTTGTCAACATATTGTAATTGATTAGGAAATATGTAATTTATACAATTACATAACTCTTTCAATTATATATATGTTGGTGGTGTTTGCTTAAATTACTATTGCAATTGTGGTTATGATACTATACATGAAGTCCTCCACCCCCAAACGTTTCCGCCATCCTTGGTTTGGGGGTGTGATAGATTGAATCCATTATAGAATACTCAAATCCCTTTTCTTCTACCAAATGGGATCTCAAAGGTTCTTGTGCGGTGGATGATCCGATATCAACAATGGCATTATCTTGCTCCACATTAACAATTTGAATGTGAGGATGATGCTCCTCCTGAACTTTTAAACTAGATATGTCAGCATCCACATTGTTTGGAGAGTCAAAGAAGTTGACATTATCTTCATTGTTGTTCAGAATAGGATCAATGTTAGCAAATTGATCTGTTGCATCTTAAAATCCATCAATAATTGATTCGATGATTGAATTACTATTCTCCCCCTTAACCTGAGAAGGCCTAAGTGCATTAGAACCAATCGGAGGAAAGTATGGGGTTGGACCAGAGACATATTGAGATACCGGAGTGGCCGATGAGGACAATCTTGATCGAGATTTTGAATCAAAAGCAGTTTCTATTGGTTAGAGTTTGGAATCAACTTTACATATAATTTGAAGATTCGGAGACCTAACTGGTTGAGCACCAGAATCCATGATATATGTTGTAACATAGTAGCAACTGAGTTTTGAACAAAATTATCATCAAAAGTGTTATCAAAACATTCCTCAATTACACGAGTTCTAAAATTTAGAGCCATGTATGCTTTAGATTTAGTTGAGTATCCCATAAATATGGATTCATTTGATTTAGATTAAAACTTGGTGAGTTGATCAAGATTGTTTTTGATAAATCATCTACATCCAAAAATGCGCAAGAATGTGATACTCGGCTTCCGACCATTCATTGCTTCATATGGTGTTTTGTTAAGATGACGGTTGATGATGCTTCAATTTTGAGTGAACTAGGATGTGGAGATGGCTTTGGCCCAGAGATATACAGGAGGGTTTGCAAAGTTCAACATCGACCAAGCGACTTGAACAGGAGTTTGAATTCTTCTTTCAACAACACCGTTTTCCGAGGAGTGTAGGGATCTGAAAAGTAGTTTTCAATGCCTTTGTCGATAAGTAATTTTTTAATGGTGGCATTTGAGAATTCGGATCCATTGTCACTTCAAATTTTTCTGTCAAGAAGTTTAGTCAAGACTTCAATGCCTTTGATGAAGTTAATGAGCTCGTAGGCAGTTTATGACTTTAGTCTTAAGAAAACCCATGTGAACCTTGTGTAGTCATCAACAATCACAAGAATATATTTTTTGTGATGTAAGTGTCGTATAGTAGATGGTCCATAAGGATCGATGTGAAGAAGTTCAAGTGGTACCGAAATAGATTTTTTAATAAGAATAGGATGTCCTTTCTTTAACTGCTCCTCACAATCACATGCAACACATATGTGATTATTTTCAAATTTGAGGATTGGCAGACCTCAGACTATTTCCACAGAAACTAGATGTTTCTTATATTGGAAGTTGCAATGAGCAAGCCGCCGATGCCATAGCCAACTTACATCAGGAACAACTTCTACGAAAAGACAAAGTTGAGGCCTTTCGATGATCATGTTGATGTCTAAAGGATACATATTCTTGATGCGATTTGATTTGATAAGACATTCTTTCTGGTGTTAGGCCACACTGATAAGATTATGCTAAAGATCAACTACATAAGCCACATTAGAGACATTGAAATTTCCGTTCGTCAAGACATCATAACCTCAAATTTGAGAATTTGAATTGTTGCTATAAGTAACATATTTGTCATTCGGAGCAGTCTTTAGATCACACATAAAATCTTTTTTCCCACTCATGTGTATGGAACAAGCACTATCAGTATACCATATTATACCTTTTTCCATAGCACAAAAG